TGCACAGGAAAGTGTCCAGGTGGGTTTGAACATCTCCAGAGATGGAGACTCCACACCCTCTCTGGGCAGCCTGTCCCAGGGCTCTGACACCCTCACAGTGAAGAAGTTTTTCCTCAAGTTTCTGTGGAACTTCTGGTGTTCCAGTTTGTGCCCGTTGCCCCTTGTCCTATCACTGTCCGCCACTGAGAAGAGGCTGGCCCCATCCTCTTGACACCCACCCTTTAGATATTTGGAAGCTCCTGCTGGAGTCCAGTGCATGAGATGGAGAAGCAGTGTGTTCCTGGGATGGTGCACTGGGTTGTCCATACCCAGTTCAGACCCTCTCTGCTTGCCAGGTCATCCTCCCTGAGCCCGTTGACCCAGTTGGGGCTGTAGATCCAGAGGACATCCCTCACTTTACAAATTATGGCTCTTAGTGGTCAAACTGGGATCTTAGAAACCTCCACTGGAGAATGTAGACACACAAAGTGACTCCTCTCTCCCGTGGAGACGAGAGGGTTGGCGTTTGCTGTCTGATGGATCATCTCAAGCACTGGTCCCTGGCTGTTGTTCTGCACCCCTTCCCTTTTCCACCACTCCATAAAAATGTTCTTCTGTTCATGTTTTGAGTGCTCCTCTACCCCAAATACCTAGTGGTGGATTTCCTGCCCCCTTATTCTCCATATTCCTAAATCCCAGCCAGACACTTGGAGATGGTGCTCAGAGCTCTGGCTGTGGTGGGAGCAGCACCTGGTGTTGGAGGGGAATCCATAGACCTTCCTGGGGTCTCTGGTTCTGAATTTGTGACTTTTTGAATGATTTAGGCAAGGTTACACTCAACAAGACGACGTTGCACACAAGTGATATCAGCAGTTGATCTCTTTTATACGGTCCTGTTGGCTCCTTCTCACCAGACTGTGCAAACGGACTCCAGGATAAAATCTGGGATTTCACAGAATCCCAGAACTGCCTGGATTGGAAAAGCCCTTTGAGCTCATGGAGTCCAACCATGAACCCAACACTGACCAGTCCCCTATGACTAACCCATGTCCCTCAGCACTGTGTCTACACGACTCTTCAATCCCTCCAGGGATGGGGACTCCACCACTGCCCTGGGCAACCCCTTCCAATGCCTCAGAACCCTTTCAGCAAAGAAATTCTTCCTCACATCCCATCTCAACTGCCCTGGCCACAACTGGAGCCCATTTCCTCTTGTCCTGTCCCTTGGGCCTTGGTTGAACAGACCCACCCCCACCTCTCTCCACCCTCCTTGCAGGTAGTATCTGCGCGTAACCTGCTGCTTTTGGCTCCCGAGCAGTGACGCCTGTGCCAGACTTGGTGAGACGTGACTGAGTTAAATACCACGCTGAGGGAAAAGAGCCAAGTTTGAGCAATCTCTTAAAAAACCGCCCGTGTTCAGTCTGCTCGAGGCTGTGCTGTGTGGGAGACCAAGAGGCAGCAGCACCAGGCAAGGGTGGGTGGAGACACGGGTGTGGGCAGCATGCGTTGGGCGTTGGGAAGGGTCTGATGCGGAGGGTGAGTAGGTCACTGGATGCTCCCACTGCCTCTGTGTTTCTTAGACCTGGGCCCTGAAGAACAGAAAATGGGGCAGACGTCACCCAGGCATCACCCCAGTGACACGTGTGGCCCTGAGTGCGTAGCTGGCCGTGCTGTAGCTGGAGCTTCTCTCCCAGCTCCACCTCTGCTCAGAGATGGTCGGTGCTGGTGAGCCAGGGCTTGCTGGGCCACTCAAACCACGTGAAGGTGCTTAGGGTTGGCTTTTATTTTAACAGCAAGAAAGTCTGCTGTAGAGTGTATAACCACATCCACCCCTCCTGAGGTTCCAGGTGCCCTGGTTGGAGAGTCATCCAGTCCACTGCCACTGTGTTGTCCCAGAATTGCAGCAGCTCCAAGCTGCAGTTTCTGTCCTTTGGTTTCTCCAGTGTGGGACACATTGACTTCCTTACAGAGTCACAGCCTGCTTTGGTTTGGAAGGGACCTTAAAGCTCCTCCAGTCCCAACACCCCTGCCAGCAGCAGGGACACCTTCCACTAGACCAGGTTGCTCAAAGCCTCATCCAACCTGGCCACAAACACTTCCAGGGAGGAGCAGCCACAGCTTCTCTGCCCAACCTGGGCCAGTGTCTCACCACCCTCACACCAAACAATTTCTTCCTCACATCTCAGCTCCATCTCCCCTCTGACACTTTCAAGCCATCACCCCTTGTTCTCTCACTCCCTGCCCTTGGACAAAGTCCCTCCCCAGCCTTCCTGGAGCCCCTTCAGGTACTGGGAGGCCACTAGAAGGTCTCCCCGGAGCCTTCTCTTCTCCAGGCTGAACAGCCCCAACTATCTTGCAGGGCTCATATCAGTCTTCATGCTTGTTAAAGTCCCTCCACATCATGTGTAATGGAAGAGAAGTGTTAATTCCTGACGGTCTCAAGCACTAAGTGCCTTTACATAAGGCTTCGGTATCTTCAATTGCTTCTCACCCACTTTCTTCTAATTTTGTAACCGCTCCTGTCTCCAGCCAGATGAGTGGGTGTGTGGAGGAGACTGAACTGGGCTGGAAGGAGAGTCCCCCAGAAAGCTACAGAAACTGCTGATTCCAGACGGGCTGTTTCTTTTCCTGACCGAGCAGCACATGTTTTGTGTCTAAATATTGTTGTCATCTCGTTCCAGTGTGAACGTTGTCTCTTGACGAGCTCCCTCTGTTTGGCTCAGTGGGTGCAGTGAGAAAAGGCGTTGGGTTGCCTGCGCGGTGTCGTCAGCAGTTCTGTCTCCGCAGTAGAATCGAGGGGGTTTCACAGCAAACTTTGTAGAGGTTTCAAGAGACCACGAGAATCACCCCGACCATCCTTACCTGAGGCTGATTCTGTTGTAACATGTGCATCGTGCTGCAGCTCCGGAGGGTTCAGGTGCAGCTGATGCCGTTGCGAGGCAGAGGAGCTGATGGGAAGGGTTGACCCAGCTCAATGATGGACACATGCTCTGCTTGTCCTCCTGAGAACGGGGGTGCTGAGGCAGGACAGTGTCGCTGTGGCTGGAGATGTTTGAGGAAGGAGCTGACCTTTGGGATGAAGGGAAAGCACCATCCAGTGTTCTGGTCATCTGAGCAGCAGCCTTGTCTGTGGGATGGCTGCACAGCCACGCTCCTCTCTCCTACTTCCTGCACTACCAGGATGCCACCTCTCCACCTAGTGACCTTTCATAGAATCATGGGATGTTGTACATGGGAAGGGACCCACAAGGATGCTGGAGTCCAACTCCTGTCCCTGCACAGGACAAGCCCAACATTCACACCATGTCCCTGAGGGCCTTGGCCAAATGCTGCTGGAATCTTGTCAGGCTTGGTGCCATGAGCACCTCCCTGGGGAGCCTGTTCCAGTGCTCCACCACCCTCTGGGTGCCTGAAGAACCTTTTCCTCATGGCCAACCTCACCCTCCCCTGCCACATCTTCCTGCCATGTCCTCTGCTCCTGGCATTGGTTGGTGGCCAGAGAGAAGAGATCAGCGCCTGCCCCTCCTCTTCCCCTTGGGAGGAAGTTCTAGACCCCCAGGAGATCTCCTCTCAGTCTCCTCCAGGCTGAACAAACCAAGTGACCTCAGCCTCTCCTCACACCCTTCCCCTCTAAACCCTTCCCCAATGTTGTCTTTATTCTCCTTTTGCTTCTGTCCTGGGTAAGGTGAAGTTACGTGGAGTCTTTTTGTCTTTTCTTCTGTCTTCAAAGCCCCGGGGTTGGCAGCCAGTGGTCGGGGTGACCTTGCAGTAGGACAGGGTGTCCCCGCCGCTGCTGCAACGCCACGTTGGCTGGTTCTCTCCCAGGTGCGGATGGCTCTGAAGAACGCCGAGAAGGAGCTGGAGTCCCACTGCAGCTGGGCTGCGCCCGAGGCCCTGCAGAAATGGCTCCAGCTGACCCATGAGGTGGAGGTCCAGTACTACAACATCAAGAAACAGAACGCAGAGAAGCAGCTGCTGGTGGCCAAGGAGGGGGTGAGAATTTCAGTCTCTTGTCCCAGGTCTTCCCCTCGAAGCTGTGGGAAAGGTTTGGGGGATGAAACCTGTGGGGTTGGTTTCTCTGCACCTTTATTTCCCTTCTAATGCCTTAAATTTGCATATTTTTAAAAAAGTGCAACACAAACCTTCATAGAGGTGTAAGTTGGGGCTGGAAATGGCAATGAGCCATCGCCTCTCCAGGCACATGGGATCCCAGAATGGCCTGGATTGGAAAGGCCCTTTAAGCTCATTGAGTCCAACCATGAACCCAACACTGACAAGTCCCCGACTAACCCATGTCCCTCAGCACTGTGTCTACACGACTCTTCAATCCCTCCAGGGATGGGGACTCCACCACTGCCCTGGGCAACCCCTTCCAATGCCTCAGAACCCTTGCAGCAAAGAAATTCTTCCTCACATCCCATCTCAACTGCCCTGGCCACAACTGGAGCCCATTTCCTCTTGTCCTGTCCCTTGGGCCTTGGTTGAACAGACCCACCCCCACCTCTCTCCACCCTCCTCCAAGGGACTTGCACAGAACCACAAGGTCTCCCCTCAGCCTCCTTTTCTCCAGGCTCAACACCCCCAGTTCCCTCAGCCACAAGGGAACTCAGCACACTTGTGCTCCAGACCCTTCCCCAGCTCCGTTCCCTTCTCTGGACACGCTCCAGCACCTCCATGTCCTTCTTGGACTCAGGGGCCCAACACAGAAGGGTTTGCACCTATGAAGCTTGTCCCTGCTCCAGGTGATTTACATGCACGGGCAACCAGTTTTCCAGCATGTGCATGTCATCTGTAGCGATGAATCATTTCTGTATTCCCAGTAGTTTCAAATTTTCTGTGCCAGCCAGGACGCGATGAGCTGCAGGGAGCTGTTGTGACACGCGTTAGTCTCTGTGGACGGGCACAGCAGACAGAGCTGGCAGCACAGGAAAACTCTCCTGCTTTAATATGTTTTTATTCTGAACATTTGAACATTGCTGTGGTTTTCTTTTTGCTGTCAGTTCTCACGTCCACATTTTTGGTTTATCTTCTGTAAGTCTCAAGTTAATGTCACTAGGTCTGTGAAGCAGAGAGCTGTGTCTGGAGAATTTAATTTTAGTACAGTGCCACAAAGGGAAGGTAAAACAATGAATAAAAAACCAAACCCCAGAACAAAAAACCTCCCCAAACCAGCAGCCCTGGGGCATTAATGGTGTTTTCCTCATGGGAAAGACAAAACAAGGCTTTCTGAGAGAGCCATTGGCTGGATAAGGTAGTTCCCTCTGATTTTTGGGAGGTCAGAAGGGCCAAAGAGAAGCATGAGAGCCCCAACCTGCTTAGTTACTGCTGGCAAATTCCTCACCCGCCGTGTTGGGAAGATTATCATCCTTCAGTAAAAACTCAATTCACACTATTCACACGTGTGCAAACAGCTGCAGGGACTATTTCTGTCTCAACCCATCCAGGATGTTCTTGTCCTGGTGGAAAACACAAGGTCATCTTCTTCCTGTGACCTTTTTCTGTTGATGTTCCAGGCTGAAAAAATTAAAAAGAAGCGAAACACCCTGTTTGGAACATTTCATGTTGCTCACAGCTCATCTCTAGATGATGTTGATCATAAAATCTTAACGGCAAAGTGAGTATCTGCTTCCTCCCTCCCCTTATTTCTGCCTCCCTCTTTCACCCCTCTAGTGTTAGAGACACGAGCATGCACAGTCCTCTTGGTCTCATTCTGCTGAGCTCCTGTTGACTTTAATTCTCTGGGACTGGACTTGCTCCTTTTAAACAATAACCTTTTAATTTTTATCTTTGTGAAATGAGAAATCAAAGTTATGCAGAGCAATTAAAAGTCCTGTTTATTAAACTAAATTAAATCAGGTCTTTCCCGAGAGTCAGGAGGCTGCAGCATTGTGAAGTGATTATCCCTGGGTATTTCCCACAATCCCAGAATTGCCTGGGTGGGAAAAGCCCTTTAAGCTCATCGAGTCCAACCATGAACCCAACACTGACAAGTCCCCGACTAACCCATGTCCCTCAGCACTGTGTCTACACGACTCTTCAATCCCTCCAGGGATGGGGACTCCACCACTGCCCTGGGCAACCCCTTCCAATGCCTCAGAACCCTTGCAGCAAAGAAATTCTTCCTCACATCCCATCTCAACTGCCCTGGCCACAACTGGAGCCCATTTCCTCTTCTCCTGGAGGTGAATTTCCATTTTCATTCCTGAAAGTGGAATGGAAGATGTCTCAAGTGTTAGGATACAAAGCCAAACCACTGGCCTCCCAGTTTCAGACAATACATGGTGTGTTTTTCCTTCATTCCCTACATTTTCCCTTGTTTGATTCTTGCTTCCAGGCAAGCTCTGAGCGAAGTGACAGCCGCGCTGCGGGAGCGTCTGCATCGCTGGCAGCAGATAGAGCTGCTCTGCGGCTTCCAGATCGTCAACAACCCAGGCATCCACACCCTGGCATCAGCCCTTAACATTGACCCCAGCTGGATGGGCACCCCACGGCCCAACCCCTCACACTTCATCATGACGGATGACGTGGACGATTTGGATGAAGAGCTGGTGTCTCCCATGTCCATACAATGTACGTAGCGCGTGTTCACTGCGTGTGGGGAGGCTGCGTCCACCGGGTGCTGCAACACGGGGCAGAGCTGGAGCAGTGGCTCAGCTGTGTTAGGAAGAGTTAAGGTGTCTGAGTTGGTTTTTAAATGACACCAAAGGTGAATTGTTAGTTGGTAAGGGGTCAGGAATGACCGTAACTGCCAGACCACCACAGCTGGGGTGGTTTCGAGCCTGTTAACTCCAGCAGAACTAGGAATTTGTGGATGTTATTAGTCATTGTTTAATCCCAGAATCACAGAACTGCCCGGATTGGAAAAAGCCCTTTAAGATCATCAAGTCCAACCATGAACCCAACACTGACCAGTCCCCTATGACTAACCCATGTCCCTCAGCACTGTGTCTACACGACTCTTCAATCCCTCCAGGGATGGGGACTCCACCACTGCCCTGGGCAACCCCTTCCAATGCCTCAGAACCCTTGCAGCAAAGAAATTCTTCCTCACATCCCATCTCAACTGCCCTGGCCACAACTGGAGCCCATTTCCTCTTGTCCTGTCCCTTGGGCCTTGGTTGAACAGACCCACCCCCACCTCTCTCCACCCTCCTCCAAGGGACTTGCACAGAGCCACAAGGTCTCCCCTCAGCCTCCTTTTCTCCAGGCTCAACACCCCCAGTTCCCTCAGCTGCTCCTCATCAGCCGTGTTGCTGTTCAGACGTTATCACACGTGTGCTGTTCTCTTCCACTCCCTGCATTTAAGCATTTACAAAAAAAAACCCCAAAGATGTGGGCTAGAGCCACAGAAGAGAAGAAAACAAAGTGCATTTTCCCAATGTCCCCTTGGCTAGAGCACTTGTTCAGGATATAAAAGGACCTGAGGACACCTCCTCATGCACAGCCTTGGACTTGCATCTCCTGCCACTATCTATGGAGAGGAGCAGTCAGCTGTGGTGACGCTGCCTCCCTGTAATGACCAACTAAACATTTTCTGGAGCACAGACTGAAACCTCAGTGACCACAACACACACGGGAGATGATGGGGCACTGAGGTGGGTGTCCTCTCCCTCCTTAATGGTGAATATATCCAAAGTGCATCAGGTCCTGTAGGGAGGAACGGGGCTGCAGGAGAAGGTTCCTTCTCTCCTGAGCCCAGATCTCTCGATTGCTGAGCTGTGGGGTTAAGTGAAGGTTCTCTCCTCTGCGAAAGGTTTGTGAATCAGTCCTGACGAGTGTTTCCATGTTAAACTGACCCAGATTCAGCCTTGCTTCTCTCAAACATGTATTTTTGAGAACCTACTGGAGCCAGTCCAGAGGAAGCCACGAGGATGATGCGAGGGCTGGAGCAGCTCTGCTGTGAGGACAGGCTGAGAGAGTTGGGGCTGTTCAGCCTGGAGAAGAGAAGGCTCCAGGGAGACCTTCTAGTGGCCTCCCAGTACCTGAAGGGGCTCCAGGAAGGCTGGGGAGGGACTTTGGCCAAGGGCAGGGAGTGAGAGAACAAGGGGTGATGGCTTGAAAGTGTCAGAGGGGAGATGGAGCTGAGATGTGAGGAAGAAATTGTTTGGTGTGAGGGTGGTGAGCCAGTGTCCCAGGTTGGGCAGAGAAGCTGTGGCTGCTCCTGTCTGGAAGTGTTTGTGGCCAGGCTGGATGAGGCTTTGAGCAACCTGGTCTAGTGGAAGGTGTCCCTGCTGCTGGCAGGGGGGTTGGAACTGGAGGAGCTTTAAGGTCCCTTCCAACTCAAACCATTCCATGATTCTATGATTTTCCAGATGCCCTTTCCTATCTCCAGCTGTTGCACGGGAGATGGGCAGAACTGAGGAGCAGTTCCAGCTGCTCTGTGACAGTGGCTGTGTGGCGTGGGGAGCAGCACGTGGCTGGAGCAGAGCTTTGTCAGCCCCAGCTGGGAGAGGGCAGCCGGTGCTGACAGCGTTTGCTGCAGCAGTCTTCTTGGTTACGTCTGATTCTGGTCCCTTTCTAGTGAGGACATCATCAAAAGTCCATTTAACTGAGTAGGAGGTGGGGAGGAGGATCAGAAAAGCCTCAGGGCTGACAGCATGTGCTGCAGGAGATGCCTGCATGTGCCATCACCATCTCCTGGCCATGGTTTCAGGCTGTGGTTAGATGCTGAGGTTGGGTGCTAGGTCAGGCTCAGAGCCCTGAGGATGTGGGTGTCCTGCAGGATGTTCAGGTGGAGGAACGGGGCACCTCAGCAAACACAGATGGAGCTGGCAGTTTATGGGG